TCTCTGCCCGCCGTCCCCGCCGTGACTCCGAGGGTGCCGGCACACGGGCAGAACGCGCGGCTTTGCCGCGGCGAAATCGCACGCGCCACCGCTCTCCTCTTACCTTCGCTACGGTGCACGGCGTTTCTTCAAGATTACTGAATTGAATGGGAGCTAAAAATGAAACGCATTATTATGTCGTTTGGAATATGCGAAACTCGCACGGTGGTGATTTTAGGGCAAGGATCTGCAGGATGCACCTCTGCCCGGGGCAGCGGGACCAGACCCGGCAAACACCGAAGCCCAAGTTTGCCGACGACAACCAGCACTCACCATGAAGTCTATATTGTTGTCTTCATTTCGGAAGTGCTCCATCAGCTTCTCAAAGCGCTGCTTCTCTCCGCACACCTACAAAAAAAAAGCCAGGTGTCTGTTAAAACTACAACTTACAAGAGAGAGTACGAAAAACATTTTAAAAAGCTGCTTTTTTTATCTTCTTGCTCAAAACCTCTCCAGCCAGGTTCCCTCTCTTGTCAAAAATGTTCTTCTTCATGATGAATCCAGCTGAATAATCACATGTGAACACCTGCACTGCAAGTCTACGGGGTCAGCAACTCCTTGCATGTCTTTTCCCCCTAAAAATCCGCTCGCACCCACAGGTGGTACGAAGGCGAGCGACAGAGCTGCACCAGGCTGCGCCCCGGGAGGACTCGGCCCCTCACAGCTCGGAACCGGCTTTCCACTGTAATGGGATGCAATTAGGGAGAAGACCAAATCACAGGGAGGAAAAAAAGGAAATTATCAGCAGCTAAACGAGGAGAGAAATACATCAGCTGGTCCGAATCACAGAGCTGTAACACAGGGGTGCTGGCAGGAACCAGGGGGAGACGTCGGATCTAAGATAAGGCAGGTCTCAGGATATCGTTTAAATCTTATTGCTTCCCAGTAGCTTCTCTGGCTCAGTCCTGCTTTCCTCAGCGCACAAACGATTTAGAGCAATCCACACCAAAATCACAAGATATCAAAGAATTTGGGAAGGCTCCGTCTAATAATAATAATTATTATTA